CTAGAAAACTATTTTTTTTATCATGAGGAAAAAAATGTCAGCATTGAAAGGATTTTTTTAAGAAATTTCACTGAGCACTATCATATTTGAAGAGCATAAACCTGTCTTCTTCTGGAAGACTTGAAATTATTTCTCAAATTTAGGATTTTCCTTTCATTTTAAAGATTTAAACTTATACCCTTAAAATTTGCTAGGTTGGAACCACTGTATTTTAGATGAGGATCTGGTGCAAAAACGCTGCTAGCACCCCTTATTGAGCACAACTATTTACATGTGAGACCTTATTGGAGACCTAATCAAACAACAAATGCACCTTCTGCCTTATCAATGACAACATGTTAAAAAGGATACCATCAGCAAGGAGAAAAAGAAGGGAAGAGGGAAAAAGAAATTTTCACATTTTCAGAATACATGGAAACCCTGTGATTTTATCAGTTCTACACAGCATTCCTTGAATAGTGTGAGGAAAGTAGAAGTTTTATCCCCTACACTGTGACACCTTTGTCACTTCTACTATACAGAAAAATCATGAGAAGATAAAATGCAGAACAGATCAGTGGTTGATGTGCACACTATCACTGATTGAAATACAAAATACTATTACTAGACAAACTTCAAATACACCACAGCATTTTCTTAATTTAAATACACTGCACAGTAAAAAGAGAAAGTAAATTATTATTCAGAAGAGAAATGCCTTTGGAATGATATACTCCTCAAATATTAGCCATACATAAAAAGTTGTAAACAACTTCCAAACTAACAAGTAAAAACCAAAGAAACATTGAAAAATAACTCGTGATCAGAACAACATGATCATTTTTCAATATATGAACAAGTGTGTGACCAAGAACATCAACTCACTAAGTTCTGTCTGGGTTGTAGTGTAAGAGATGTGGGAATCTTAGGAATACAGTCCAGTGACTTAATTCGGACTGCTGAATGCATTTCTATGCGCAGTTTCTTTCTCAGACCGTCTGGAATCTGAAATAATTAAACATGAAGAGAGAAGAAATATCAGAAAAATAAAACAGCTGCACTGAATACATTGCAAACACAATTTCAGTTTCTTTGTCACTAAAAGAATCTCTGCATTTGATCACAGCTCCTATTTCTTTGTTCTAATCTGCAATAGAATTTAAGGAAGGGAAGAGGAAACCATAAAATTGATGGCGTTATTCAAATCTTCTCCTTGTGCACACTTCTTATTGTAACACTAGCATATGTAATCCTATTATTTTAGAATTTGAGGACAGCTAGAGTCCAAAACATACTTAAAGTGGTATCTTATGCAAAATGCACCTTACTGTACAAAGATATATGAACATATATAGGTATTTCCACACCCTCATAAATGTAGTGACTGCCAAAAGGTTTTGAAGAAAGCACAGGTATCCTCCAGAAACACTGAAGAATTTTTCCCTGGAATGCCACAGGTGCAGAAACCCAGGGTACATGGCACCTTGAAGAGGATGAAGGCAAATAAGAAGAAGCCCGGAATGAGAAAACTTAGCACAGTGTAACTCTGCTAAATATCCCTAGATTCTGTCATTATCTACTTGAAAACACAAAGCCTGTACCCCAAAATTACATGTTAGCTAGCCAATTCCATTACTATCCATCGAGAAAATATCTGAAGAAAAGCCCTAAGAATAGTATGTTTAAACTGACCCAAACTCTTCCAACGTGTAGGGTTTCCCCACTGCTGCCATACTCAATGACACTCTTGAGATCTTCAAATCCATTCCAAACGATCCGAACAACCGCCTCCTCCGTGGCTGGCTGGCTGCTGCCAGGATGATTTTTGAGTTGCGTGCTCGCCGCAGGCTTTTGCTTTTCAAGCAGCAGGTTTTGCTTGGCTTCCTGATGCCGCTGTCTCGGGGACAGCAGCTCGCTAATTTTCCCGTAAGAGACCACGGCAGTTGGCTCCAGATCAACAAAATCCAAACTCCAAGGGAAAACATGAACCGCGCTGTGTTTCAGGAACGCGCGCGTGGGCGGCGCGCTCTGCGCGCTGGACGGCGGGGAACCACATACTCTAAAAATGGAATCCATGTGAATTAAGTTGAGCAGCTCGTCTTTGAAGGCTTTCACTTGATCTGTGTCACACAAAGTCTTTTGCTTCTGCTCAGATGAGCGAGAGAATACGCTCCCAATGAAACTCCAAATATTTGGCAGAACATTTGAGCTGAGGGTCACGTTTGCATCAGCCTCACGTTGCTCAGGGACTCCTGGTTTTACATGAGGTTGCTCGGCCAAGGGCTCCTTTACTGCTGCTTCTTGGCCCCAGTTATTTTTCACAACTCTTTTGAGCAAAGCGTCCCTTTCTGCGGAAGGCATACTGGTGAGATTTGCCTCAAGCTGGCGGGTTTTAGGGCATATCAGAAGTTCCGTGCGAGGTTCTAACCTTCCGTAAGGGGCAGCTGGGATAAGAGCACCTGAATGTAAGCAAAACACACAGCTGAAGTCACCCACTCTTGCAAAACAGCTCTCTGAAGATACCACAAAATCTTTGACTGTTGCTTACTAATTTTGATGTAAACGTGAGTATGCTGTTCAACCCACACAGGAAAGACGGCTTTGGGGAAGACAATTCGGATCTGGTCAAGAAGGCTTTTTTCAAGTGAGGAAGCATGCAGTTCCTAGGTAAAATTAGTATCATTAGAAATTAGAACCTTCATATATTTAAGATGTCTATGAAACTCTATAACTGTTTCTAATAAACCATGTGAAATAGAAGCTACTGTGAAAAACCCCAAACATTTATCAGGGGAAGTAAAGAAGAGGGCATTATGCTAGAAACTACACATGCCTGTAATCTTTTGTTTGTAAGGGAAGAGACGTGAAAAACAGAAAGAATTTTATTACCAGTATTTCCCAATCATCTGCTGAGAGTGGCTCCACTTCTACTTGCTGACAGGAAGAGACATGTGAGCAGGGCTCAATGAACACCTGAGAAAAAGCAGAAGCATTTTGATCTATTTAAATCTCTATTTTAAAATAAATAAATAAAATCCATCTTTAACTCGGACAGACAAGCCAGATCTCTGTTAAATACTTCCATTTCTTCAAAAATACACTCTCTTAATGACAATAGATAAGCTTGTTAGTAGGAGACCAAATTTCAGCGTTATCAGAAATACAGTGTCCGGGGTATATGGGCATTTCAACACCCCATAAACACAAGTGAATGCCAAGCACATCAGGCAGTCTAGCAGCTGCCTCATTTGCAAAACAATCAGTTTTAAAACATTCTCATCACAAAAGCTCCTTTGAACTTTATTTTTAATTTTTAAAAAGGTACCACGGTAGAAAAATTCATCCAACTGTGCACACACGAGGCAGAAATAGCTGCAGACGAGGGAAAACCAAAACCAAACCAAGCTCTTATCAGCAAGTTCACAGATAGCAACCCCAATTTCACAAAGAGCTGGCAGCTTTACAGTCCTGCGCATTAGGAAGAATGATAGAAGATGCTGTGACTAGGGGAAAATAAGCTTTTTTAGAGTACCTTAAACACATATTCTAAAAGCTAATTTTATCCCTTTGACAGAAGACAACAATTTTCAAACAATATCTTGCCATACATTTTAAAATGTCCAACTGCTTTACGCTAAAAGAATCATTTAAACAAGAACTTGCACACACTGTCCAAGAGTAAGAAAACAGCAGCCCAAATCAAAGAAATATTCAGAGAAAGAGGACACATAGAATCATAGAATCATAGAATGCTCAAGGTTGGAAGGGACCTCTAGAGGTCATCCAGTCCAACTCCCCTGCACATGCAGGGTCACCTGATGACGGAAACTTCAGTCAGAGTATTTTTATGAAAGAATTCCCAACTCATTTAATTACTTCAAATTTTGTTTTCCTAAAAATGTCATTGCAAAGATTGGCTCCAACCCTGCAAAAACCTAACACAAATCTACTCCCACATAAAGTAATTGTAATGATTTTATGAACAAATCTTTTCATGGCTGAAAACTGTTTCGTGAAGCTGAACGTTTCATATCTGACAGACATTAATGAAGCAACTTGAGTTGCGCAAACACATGAAACAAGATGCCATGTCACAGCTGACCTGTAAATCATTAACATTTCAAGGATCTTGCGTTACACTCTCCATGCTTTAAAAGAGAAAAAAGAAAAGGAGAGAGAGAGTTGGCATTTCAAACCTGTTCTCCATCTGTAATGCCAAGTTTCTCGGCCAACTGCCTGTTAATCTCTGCAATATTTTCATCCTGGTGTCCTCGATGCCTCATTTCCATCCATCCCAAAAATACAGGCTGGTGACTGCCGGAAACCTTCACAGCTTGGCCCTATTAGTTTCAGGGAAATAAAATAAACTAGTATCACACATAACACAAACAAAATGATGATTATTCAAACTAAAGCACATATTTTGAATTCCATTCAGTTCTCTAATCAAATATTTTCTGGATTTTACTTGCCCAATTTTAATGAATATTCCAAAACCATAATATACAATGTTTCTATTAATGGAAATGTTTTGGTTCTGGTGGAGTGGTCCACAAATTTCTTCACCATCAAGACTTTTCTCTGAAGTCTTCACGCTGTTCCCTATGTGCACCTCTCAACACAGGATCTCTTGTTGCTTTCAATGATTAAACAGCTTTCAATGTTTATACTCATTTTTAGCATTCTCTATCTAGTATATTCTGCACAATAATCTACCAACCAAATATCCCACGGAAATATGTAATTATACATTTCTATTTCCCATTTGTGTGTGTGTGGAGAGCCATATGCATACAACTAAGACCACGCGCACTTTAATACATTCAATGGGGGCTTTAAAGAGGGCTTTCATGAGCTGGGCAACATTAAAAAAAAAAAAAAAAAGTTATATTGACTTTGGCCAGACTGCTGTACAAATAAGTAAGCGCATTTACACTCAGTAAGTGTAACACTCCTAACTGTACCACGCTCTCCTGCCATCCCTACAGGCCGCCGACGTCCCTCGGCCTTGCTGGAGTGCTATGAACCCCTGCGGGGGGCGTGGGGGGTCGTTCCGTGTCACCACGGGGACAGCGCGGGGAGATGACGTCAGCGCTGATGATGCAGCGCCG